ATTATCCCTCCATTCACCCATTACCATTCAGGAGAAAACCTCTACTTGTCCTGCTTCGCGGACTCTAACCCACCGGCAGAGTATACTTGGACGATTAATAGGAAGTTTCTTCAATCAGGACAAAAGCTCTCTATCCCCCATATTACTACAAAGCATAGCGGGCTCTATGGTTGCTCTGCTCGTAACTCAGCCACTGGCAGGGAACGTTCCATACTCACGAGGATCAAAGTCTCTCGTAAGTGGATCCTTGCATCATTGGCAATAGGGTTTTAGGTGGAGTCTATCTGGCTTTCAGAGAAGAGTCAGGAAAACATTTTAATTCCCAGCCTGTGTCCCATGGGCAGAAGCAAATCCTAAATTCTCCTCCTGAATCCTCCCAATTTGTCTCTACAGACCCTCTTCTCTTTCTTTTTCTGTTTTCTCATGGCTGACCTTGTGTCCAGCCTGAGAAAAGTAGGGAGGGGGCTTTGAGCCCTATGTGGTGGAAGAGGCTTCAGAGAGGTGGAAGAGGCTTCACAGAGGGACAAGGAGAGTCTTCAAGATCAAATTGCTTTTCGCTATCACCAACACATCCATTTCTGCCACATCTTTGATTTCTTTTACCTACTCCATGAGCTACAAGGAACATCTGAGGCTTTGAAACAAGCTCACATTTTTCCCCCAAATGAGAGGAGGAAGCCCCTTGGATGAGAGAGGGGCAGCTCAGACTGCTGCCTGCTCTGCTCCGGGCTTCTCCGGTTACTGGCCCTGCCTGACCCCACCTGGGGTGGGACAAGCAAGTGTGGAGAAAGAGCCCTGGTGGCCTGTCCTGAATTCAGCTAAATCGAGCTGCCAGTTGAAGTGAAGCCTAGTCTGCAGGGAAATAAGAACAGAGGGAGCCTCCGGGCAGACTCTTGAACTGTGTCCTGGCTCTGAAGTCACCGGCTGTATGAGGCTGTGGGCATAGCACGTGGGACACAGCACAGAGGACAGTGAGTGATGCACACTTGGAGAAATAGTGAGATTCACCTCTTGGGCTCTGCATGACAGGAAAGGGGCAATGCCAAAAAGTGTGTATTTATAGAGTGTAAGACTACCATGACACTTTATATATATATCTAAGACTTATCATTAACTAAGTGTGCAATTTAGTGTTGTGTAACCATCACACTATCCATTTCCAGAACTTTTTCCTTTTACCATATTAAACCTCTGGATCCAAAAAACAGTAACTCTCACTCCTCCCCCTAACCCTTAGCACCCACCATTCTACTTTCTGTCTCTATGTAACTAGCTATTCTATCTTTTATAAATGGAATTATATAATAATTATCCTTTTGTGTCTGGCTTACTTCAGTTAGCATAATGTCTTCAAGTTTCATCCTTTTTGCACGATGTATTGGAATTTTATTCCTTGTAAGGTTGAATAGCATTTTAATGTATTTAGATACACTTCATTTGCCTACCCACTTATCTTTCAATGGACAATGGACTTTTCCGTTGCTTCCATTTTTTGGCTATTGTGAGTAATGCTTCTCTGAACATCAATGTGCAAATACTTGTTCAAATTTCCTTCCATTCTATAGGCAGTATGTCCAGAAGTGGAATTGCTGGATCGAATGGTAAATTATTGTTTAATTTTTTGAGAAATAGCCATACCACTTTTTACAGTGGCTATAACATTTCCCATTCCCATCAGCAATGCACTAGAGCTCCAATTTTTCCATCTATTTGAAAACACTTGTTTTGTGTTGCTGTCGTTATTGTTTATCAAAGCCATCCTAAAGTGTGTGAGGTGGTGTCACATTGTGGTTTCGATTTGTATATCTCTAAGTATTCGTGACACTGAGGAACTCTGCATGGGCTTATTGGATATTTGTATATCTTCCTTGAAGAAAACTCTATTTTAATCCTTTGTTCATTTTTTAATTGGGTTTTTGGATGTTTGCTGTTGTTGACTTGTAGTTTTTCATGTATTCTGGAAATTAATTTCTTCTCATACTTAAAATTTGCAAGTATTTTTCTCATTTCATGGGTTGCCTTTTTACTTTCTTGATAATGTTCTTTGATATATAAAAGGATTTGATTTTTATGAAATCCAATTTATCCATTTTATTTATTGCCTATGCTTTAAATAAAATTTACAACCAAGAAACCATTGTGAAATCCAATATCATGAAGCTTTTCTCCTATGTTTTTTTCTAAGAGTTGTATAGCTTTTACTTTTAAATTAGATCTTTGATCTATTGTGGGTTAATTTTTGTATATAGTGTTAGGTAAAGGTTCCACTGATTCTTGCCCTTGGATATCCAGCTTGCCCAATATCATTTCATCAGAACACTGTCCTTTCCCCATTGAATGATCTTGGCACACTAGATGAAAATCATTTTGCCATATATGCAGGTATTTCTTTCTGGGTTCTTTGTTCTATTTCACTAATTTCTATGTCCTCCTTTATTCCAATACCACACTGTATTGGTTACTTGGGCTTTGTAGTAAATGCTGAAATCAGGAAGAGTGAGTCCTCCAGCCTCATTCTTCCTCTTCAAAGTTGTTTGTCTATTTAGAGTCATGAAATTCAATATAAATTTTAGGACAGATTTTTCCTTTTCTGCAATAATGTCACTGAGATTCTGATAGGAATTGTATTGAATTTGCAACTCACTTTTGGTAGCATTGTCTTCCTAACAATATTGAGTCTTCTAATTCATGAAAACAAAATGTTTTTCAATTTATTGCTGTCATCATTAAGCAATATTTTATGGATTTCAGGTATAATCATTTCACCTCTTTGGTTAAACTTATTCCTAAATATTTTATCTTTTTGATATTAATACAAATTAAATTTTTTTTCTTAATTTCCCTTCAGATTGTTCATGGTTAGTGTATTGAAATATGACTGATGTTTGAATGTTGATTTTGTATTGTGCAACATTACTGAATTCATTTATTAATTCTAATAGGTTTATTGCATCTTTAGGATTTTCTACATATAAGTTCAAGTTATCTGTGAACAGAAATAATTTTACTCCCTTCTTCCAGTTTGAATGTCTTTTTTTAAATTCTTGCCTAATTTTTCTGACTAGACCTTTCAATACTACATTGAATAGACATGTCAAAAGCAGCATCCTTGTCTTGTTCCTGCTCATATAGGGAAAGCATTCAGTCTTTCTCCGTTGAGTATGATGCTAGCATTGGGTTTTTCACATATTGTCTTTATGTTGAGGTGGTTTCCTTCCATTCTTAGTTGGAATGTTTTTATTATGAAAAAATATTGAATTTCATCAAATACTTTTATTGATTCAATCTTATTACTGATTATAGCTCTGGGCCAGCCCAGGCTGAAATACAGTGGTGTGATTATGGTTCACTGCAGCCTCAACCTCCTGGGCTCAAGCAATTCTCCTTCTTCAGTCTCCCAAGATATGAGGACTACAGATGCATGCCAATATGACCAGCTAAATGGTTTTTACATTTTTTTTGTAGAGAGAGGGTCTCCCCGGGTTACCTATGCCGGTCCAAACACCTGGCCTCAAGAAATCCTCCCACTGTGACCTCTCAAAGTGCTAGGATTAAAATATGACCCACCATGCTCAGACTCCATTTTCATTTCTGATTTTAGCAATTTTAATCTTCTCTCTTTTTTTCTTAGTCAGTCTGGTTAATGGTCATCAATTTTATTGATTTTATTTTGAAGAATCAACTTTTGGTTTCAATAATTTCCTCTATCTTTTTCCATTCTCCATTTTATTTTTATCCACTCTAATCCTTATTGTTTCCTTCATTCACAGTGTTGGGTTTACTTTGTTCTTCTTTCATATCCTGAAGTATGAAACAGCTTGCTTCATACCATTCTTTTAAAGGTTTAATGTAGTCAATGAAACAAGATGCCACACGCAGAGGAACCAATGTCAGCTGCTATATTACTACCATCATCATTAGCCTTGAGGTCAAATAGTCCTAGAATCAAATCTCAGATCCACTTATTACTAGCCATATGACACCAGGAAAGATTTTACACTACTCTAAGCTTCTGTCTTTTCATAAGCAAGACGGAAATAATGTCTACCTGACAGGGTTATTGTGTGAATTAAATGACGTACAGGTATTTAGCACAGGCCCTGGTACACAGGAAGTGCACCTCAACAGTACCTAGCTATTTCCATATATATATAGAAAAAGAGGTAACACATAAAACACTAGGACATGGTTACTGACTACTTGTGGAAGAGAAAGGAAAAAAGCTAAGTGCAAAGAATCAACCCTGGTATGTTAGTTTTTACTAACTGAAATGCATCCAGGATGGGATTAGACATATAAGATAATTTATCAGGGAAGACACTTGTGAGGGAATGTGGGGCAGGCATGAAGGTAGTATGGGAGAACCCACAGACCCCTATGCAAAGCTGACTCCTGTGAAAAAGAAAGAGAAAGAAGCTTTAGGTATCAATGCAGTTCTAAGAGACTTTTTGCAAGGATGATCGAGAATCCTCCAACCAGTCACCCACTAGAGTTAAAGAGAGCCTCAGAGAACTAGGCTTGCTTTCACGCCCTTGCTGGGATCTGTGAGAAGGAAGCTTTCTGTGCAAAGGAGGTGGTGAATTTGAAATGCACTGACCTGGGCCTTCTGTCAATCAAGTCCCTGCCACGGAGACCTGGCAGGGTCTCATTCATGGCTGCCACAACAGAGACACTGAGAAAAAGATGCAACCATGAAAAGGTGGAAAGGTGGAAAGTTCTAATGACATAGAAAATAGCAATCACCCTTTCTCACATCTGAAAGCTTTCTGAAATATCTAGTGCAGTAGAGAATTGACAGAGGACTGATCACCAACCTAGAAACGTGGTGAGAAGGGAAAAATAACTGCAAGAATATAATCATCTCCCATCAAATTTCCAACAGAAATAATGCATTCCTTGAAGAAACAATTATAGAGTACCTCATGTTACATGCTTGTTCCTGAGGCTCCCCCCTGTAAAATAATATCACCTCCATTCCTTTTCTTTTCTTTCCATGACAGCTCCTTCAGTAAGAGGGCGTATTTCTGGCCTTAATCCGATATAGCAGCCGTGATGTCATTTCTGTATTTCAGGAAGACTGGCAGGTATGATGGCCTTTTCTCTTGTCCTGTTTCCTGCAAGATTGACTGCCATGCTTGGGAGAGGGAAAAGACTTATTGGCCTGTATCTGGGACTGGATCTCCTCCTTCTTCCACTAAACTCCTGCTTCTCAGCACTAATTCCTGCAGTTCCCTTTCTCCCTGGCCTTTATGCTCCCTGTACCCCACTGTCTTTAAGACATAATTATCTCCAGCCTCTGCTCATTTGTTTCTCAGATTCAAATGAGAAACACAATTTCACATTGTGAAACCCTCTTCATTACTTTTAACATCTCTCAATAGTGTAATTCTCTCCATTCCCATAAAGCTCAACCACTTCTCAAAGTGTTTCTTGACTTCTTGTCTCCAGACTTTGAAACCTTCCTTGCATATGACTGTATCATTACTTTTCTAAAATCTAGTTAATTCATTTAATCAAGAATCCCCAGGGGTCTACTCTAGCCTATTTGGTAAGTTCACATTTTTTCTATTTACTATTCATTCTCACTTCCTTTACATCTGCTTCCTAGTATAATTCCTCCATCATAATCAGAACTGTCTTCCTACACATCCCTGCCCCTTCACCCACAAAGACATAAAATTCTTAGTTCCAATGCTATGCCTAAAAACAGGGTGAACTCCCCTCCACCATCTGCACTACAGACTTAACTACACCCTTCATCACAAGCAACCTCTGACCTCGTGGAGAACAAAGACCTTAGCATTAGCCTGTGAACCTGAGACTCAGGACACAACCTATGTGTGGTTGACAGCTTTTCCTGATGACCAATTCACATGCTCAAAAAAGATACAGAAATGAAGAAGGAAAGGTCCCTACCTCAGGGAACATAAAGCCTAAGACAGGAAATGAGACCTGAAAATAATCATGATACCAAAATAGAAAAAAAGTGAAGGCCACTAGAAATCAGAGAAATCTGATGGGAAATATAACTACACATGGGAATCACTGGAAAACGTTTTTAAAAGTGGATGCTGAAGCCCCACTCATGAGTTCCAGTTTAAAGGTCTGCAGAGGGATCCAGGCACTGGTAATTTTTAAGTCTTCCCTGACACTACAAACATGTAACGAGGATGAAGAATTCTTGTTGTAATAGGTAGAACTTAAAACTAAATCAATTATTTTCAGCTAGAAGTACTGCAATTTCCTAAGGACCTTTTTCAACATAGGTAAGACTATACTTTTTTGGCCCTAATTATTAATGGGCTACACCAAGAACTCAGTGATCCAGTTGGGAAACAGAAGCTCAATGGAAAAGCCACCTTATTTGATATGTCAAAATATATATAAAGCATTTTCAAATGAGGGATAAGTGATGCTAAACCTTCTCTAAATAATATTTATGGGAATGTTAATAATATGAGTATTCTAGGCTGGGCGTGGTGGCTCACGCCTATAATCCCAGCACTTTGGGAGACCGAGGTGGGCAGATCATGAGGTCAGGAGATCGAGATCATCCTGGCTAATACGGTGAAACCCGTCTCTACTAAAAATACAAAAACAAAATTAGCCAGGCATGGTGGCAAGTGTCTGTAGTCCCAGCTAATCCAGAGGCTGAGGCAGGAGAATGGTGGGAATCCGGGAGGTGGAGCTTGCAGTGAGACAAGATGGTGCCACTGCTCTCCAGCCTGGGCGACAGAGTAAGACTGTGTCTCAAAAATAAAATAAAATAAATAAAATAAAATAGTGTTCTAAAAACTATATGAAATTTCTGGAAATTGAGTATGTTATCAGTCATAGTGTCATATGCCACAGAAGTAACTAGATTTCTATGTGAGCTGTGTCTTTACCATAATAAACCTAATAAAAATATCATTAGATTTTTAACCATAGTCATTTTAAATCTTTGTCATTCCCAGGCAGTTGCTTTCGTTCTTCCTCGAAGTATTTACAATCAGCTACAGTCCAAAATTGCTTTTTTTTCAAGGAGATATATGGAAAAGACTCTGACAACGACTCTTGAATACAACTTTCTGATAACTTCAAGATCATATCACTGGACTCTCTGAGAACTTTCAAAATTTTAATGAACAGGATGCTACCTTCATGAAATTCAAGACAAAGAAGAAAAAAAACTCAAATTTATTGGACTAAATAATCAAAAGGATAATATTTTCACAATTTTTTATTTGAAAATGTGCTGATTCCTTGAATGTTTCATTCTCCAGATATATGAACTTTCTCTTTTAAGCTATTTATACTTTACAGCAATTTGGTAAAGTATACTTTTGTAAACAAAAATTGAAACATTTGCTTTTGCTCCCTATCTGAGTGTCCCAGAATTGGGAAATTATTCATGAGTATACATATGCATATGGTAATAAAGTTATTTGCACAAATTCAGTAAGAATCTGCTCTCTTTATAACATGACACATTTAAAACATTGGTTATGTTACCAAGGCTTTGACTGGGATGTTGTATTTGAGAATATACATAGAATAAACCCATAGGGAATGCAGGCAAAGTCTAAAGTTGGCCTTGGTTTGGCTTCCTAGTTTCAAGAGGTTTTTGAAAGTTTAATCTGAGAGTCTTATAAAACTTCTAGCAAAGCAAAGTTTAAAAGGATCCTCTATGGTCCATTGCTACTCTTGCTTCACTTAGGTAAAAAATCTAGGCAAGTTTGTTGTGACTCAACTTATTTTGCAAACAAATTCATCCTACTGCAATTATCTTTGGAAAAAATAGAGACTCCTATATAGAGAAAAATTATGTTGAAAAGAAAAACTGTAGTACACCTGTAACCAGACTGAACCACTGTTCATTATCTTTGAGTATTTATAATCCACTGGTAGACTAGACTGGACCCTGAGTTCTTTTGGTTCTTCCAATTCAATTTTCTCCAATGAAATCATTAAAAACAAGAACAGCTCCGTTGCTGAAGCCATATAAGCTGGAGGTGGACAACTCAATGTAAATTTCATCGGAAAACCCTCATGTCCGAGGTGTGGGCCACTCAGAGCTCACCAAATATTCAACACTATAACTTAGAGACAACTAAACTGCAAACCACAAAAACAAGTTGATGACCTTACACTGTGGACAGCTTTTCTCAAGATGTCAGAACAAGACTATCAATCATGATGAGACTCTTACCTCTCTTAATTTCTCCTTGCTTATGCCTGTCTCCTTTGCTTCCCAGAATAATGCTGTACTTAGGATTTCACAAGAAGTAGCTTCTGAGAGTAAGTTAACAGTGTCAGACACATCACATCAACCACACTTTTTTTTTTTTAAGATGGAGTTGCTCACTTGTTGCCCATGCTGGAGTGCAATGGCACAATCTTGGCTCACCACAACCTCTGCCTCCGGTGTTCAAGTGATTCTCTTGCTTCAGCCTCCCTGGTAGCTGGGATTATAGGCATGCACCACCACACCTGGCTAATATTGTATTTTTAGTAGAGACGGGGTTTCTCCATGTTGGACAGGCTGGTCTTGAACTCCCGATCTCAGCATGCCTTGGCTTCCCAAGGTGCTGGGATTACAGGCATGAGCCACTGCACCTGGCCCACACATTTTTACATAACAAGAGATCCTTTAGTCCACCCAAAAGCTGACGTTAGCTACATCTTTAACACAACTTTTTCCTCAAATATAAGAGTTTTTTTTAGGCTTCCACTTCTATACTTGGCTATTCTTCTCACGCCCTGTTTTAATTTAACATAGACATGCAATGCTAGAAAATAGAATTGCTCTCTACCAGCTTAACAAGGAGGAGCCTGTGCAGTTTCTGACACTTCTTTTGGCACATGGATAAATACCTCGGGTATTATACTCAGTTGTAAAAATCAACAAATGTGCTGCCTGGTTAAAATGACTAGTCTCTTCTGGCTTCTTCTTTGATCTATTCTATTGTAGTTGGTTTGTATCTTGCTTAAGGTACATATTCCAAACTCTTGATATTTTCGTCCTGATAGTCATACTGGTAGTCTCCCTCATGTGGTGCAATCTACAAACATTTTTATTTGTGTGCAAATATTTGTGAGCAGCCATACTTCAAATATCAAATTGTTTCTCTGGGGTTGGAATTCAAAAACTCAAAGAAATGTGTGGTTTATGGACAGGACACAGTGGCTCACATCTGTAATCACAGCACTTTGGGAGGCCAAGGCGTGCAGATCACAAGGTCAGGAGTTCGACACCAGCCTGGTCAATATGGTGAAACCCTGTCTCTACTAAAAATACAAAAATTAGCCGGGCGTGGTGGCGCGCACCTGTAGTCCTGTAGGGAGACCCCCTGAAACCATTGTTATGGAATAAAAGATGAAATGCTCCTGATTATTGTAAACACAAAATTGCATGCAAGATTGTGTAAAGACAATGCCAGGTTGGGCTGCCACAATGAGCCAACAGTGCGTGATGTGCTTCTCCCTGCAGAGAGCCTATTAATGGACGTGTAGTCAGGGAAGTTTCACATCACCAAGATTCCTATCCCAGAAAAGCAGATGTTCATAGCTCTGGGATTGGAATGCAACCCTTGTGGAGAACCTGTAAATGGACACATGAAGAGCGCCTGTTCATATGGATAAGATAGGGTGATAAATGCCCTTATCTTGCCACGGCTCTTCTAGGTCTCTTTAGGGGTAAGGCATACCCCCCTCTGAGAATTTTTTGGTTTAACTGGTTGTCTAGCTTCACTTCCTGTTTCTATTGATTGTTTGCAACCAGCTTTGACTGCAACTGTTACTGCTGATTAATATCTTGCTAATCATAGGTTATGGATAGACTGTGTTTCTGTTTTAAGGCTCTGTTAGAAAATGCTGATGCACACACCATGTTGTAAATTCTTATCTCTGTATACTGTACTTCTGCATACCGATGTTATGTTAAAGAATTACTTCATCCCCATGTGACAATCTCACCTCAGAATCAAACCACCCTAAATCCCTCAGTAACCTACCCGTGCCCTCACTAAACTTACTAATAAATACTGTTATATCCAGTGCATTGGCGGCATCACAAGACCAGAAGTCAACGACCTCCCCAGACTCAGTTTTCACTATCTTGTGTATGTCTTTTACTTCTTGACCTGCCTATACGCCTGGGAACAAAGAAAGAGCCCTGTTGCATTGCGGGCTGCTGGCCAGGTACTGCAATATAATCCCAGCTACATGGTATACTGAGGTGGGAGAATCGCTTGAACCCAGGAGGCACAGGTTGCAGTGAGCCGAGATGCTGCCACTGCACTTCAGCCTGGGTGACAGAGCGAGACTCCATCCAAAAAAAAAAAAGAAGAGGGGGTGGTGTCAAGATGGCCAAATAGGAACAGCACCAGCCTCCAGCTCCCAGCATGAGCAGCACAGAAGATAGGTGATTTCTGCGTTTTCAACTGAGCTACCAGGTTCATCTCACTGGGGTGTCTCGGACAGTGGGTGCAGCACCAGCACAGTGAGTGCAGCCCAACGAGTGAGAGCCGAAGGAGGGTGAGGCGTGGCCTCACCCAGGAAGTGCAAGCAGGAAGGGAATAATTCCCTTTCCTAGCCAAGGGGAACCGTGACACACAACACCTGGAAAATTGGGTCACTTCCATCCTAATACTGTGCTTTACCAAGGGTCTCAGCAAATGGTTCACCAGGAGATCATATCCCCTGCTGGTTTGGAGGGTCCCACGCCCATGGAGCCTCCCTCATGGCTAGCACAGCAGTCAGATCTAACTGCAAGGCAGCAGCGAGGTTTGGGGAAGGGCGCCCACAATTGCTGAGGTTAAGTAGGTAAACAAAGTGGCCAGGAAGCTTGAACTGGGTGGAGCCCACCGCAGCTCAATGAGGCCTGCCTGCCTCTGTAGACTGCACCTCTGGAGACAGGGCATAGCCAAACAAAAGGCAGCAGAAACCTCTGCAGATGTAAATGTCCCTGTCTGACAGCTTTGGAGAGAGTAGTGGTTCTCCCAGCATGGAGTTTGGCATCTGAGAATGGACAGACTGCCTGCTCAAGTGGGTCCCTATCCCCCAAGTATCCTAACTGGGGGACATCCCCCACTAGCAGCAGACTGACACCAAACACCTCATGCAGCTGGGTACACCTTTGAGATGAAGCTTCCACAGGAATGATCAGACAGCAACATTGGCTGTTCAGCAATATTCACTCTTCTGCAGCCTCCACTGCTGATACCCAGGCATACAGGGTCTGAAGTGGACCTCAAGCAAACTCCAACAAACCTGCAGCTGAGGGTCCTAACTGTTAGAAGGAAAACTAACAAACAGAAAGGACATCCACACCAAAACGCCATCTGTAGGTCACCATCATCAAAGTCCAAAGGTAGATAAAAGCACAAAGGTGGTCAAAAAGCAGAGCAGAAAAGCTGAAAATTCTAAAAATCAGAGCACCTCTCAACCTCCAAAGGAATGCAGCTCCTCACCAGCAACGGAAAAAAGCTGGACAGAGAATGACTTTGACGAGTTGAGAGAGGCTTCAGACAATCAAACTTCTCTAAGCTAAAGGAGGAAGTATGAACCCAGCGCAAAGAAACTAAAAACCTTGAAAAAAGATTTGATGAATGACTAACTAGAATAACCAATCTAGAGAAGTCCTTAAATGACCTGATAGAGAGGAAAACGATGACAAGTGAACCACATGACAAATGCACAAGTTTCAGTAACCGACTCGATCAACCGGAAGAAAGGGTATCAGTGATTGAAGATCAAACGAATGAAATGAAGCAAGAGAAGTTTAGAGAAAAAAAGAGTAAAAAGAAATGAACAAAGCCTCCAAGAAATATGGGACTATGTGAAAAGACCAAATCTACGACTAATTGGTGTACCTGAAAGTGACGGCGAGAATGGAACCAAGTCGGAAAACACTCTGTAGGATATTATACAAAAGAACTTCCCCAACCTAGCAAGGCAGGCCAACATTCAAATTCAGGAAATACAGAGAATGCCACAAAGATACTCCTCGACAAGAACAACTCTAAGACACATAATTGTCAGATTCACTAAAGTTGAAATGAAGGAAAAAATATTAAGGCAGCCAGAGAAGAAGGTTGGGTTACCCACAAAGGGAAGTCCATCAGACTAACAGCGGATCTCTCAGCAGAAACTCTCCAAGTAGAAGAGAGTGGGGGCCGATGTTCAACATTCTTAAAGAAAAGAATTTTCATTCCAGAATTTCATATCCAGCCAAACTAGGCTTCATAAGTGAAGGAGGAATAAAACCCTTTACAGACAAGCAAATGCTGAGAGATTTTGTCACCACCAGGCCTGCCCTACAAGAGCTCCTGAAGGAAGCACTAAACATGAAAAGGAACAACCAGTACCAGCCACTGCAAAAACATGCCAAAATGTAAAGACTATTGATGCTAGGAGGAAACTGCGTCAACTAGCGAGCAACATAACTAGCTAACATCATAATGACAGGATCAAGTTCACACATAACAATATCAACCTTAATGTAAGTGGACTAAATGCTCCAATTAAAAGACACAGACTGACAAATTGGATAAAGAGTCAAGACCCATCAGCGCCCTATATTCGGAAGACCCATCTCACATGCAGAGACACATAGGCTCATAATAAAGGGATGGAGGAAGATGTATCAAGCAAATGGAAAACCAAAAAAGGCAGGGGATGATATCCTAGTCTCTGATAAAACAGACTTTAAACCAACAAACATCAAAAGAGACAAAGAAGGCCGTTACATAATGGTAAAGGGATCAATTCATCAGAAAGAGCTAGCTATCCTAAATATATATGCACCCAATACAGGAGCACCCAGATTCATAAAGCAAGCCCTTAGAGACTTACAAAGAGACTTAGACTCCCACACAATAATAATGGGAGACTTAAACACCCCATTGTCAACATTAGACAGATCAACGAGACAGAAAGTTAACAAGGATATCCAGGAATTGAACTCAGCTCTGCACCAAGCATACCTAACAGACATCTACAGAACTCTCCACCCCAAATCAACAGAATATACATTCTTCACAGCATCACATCGCACTTATTCCAAAACTGACCACAGAGATGGAAGTAAAGCACTCCTCAGCAAATGCAAAAGAACAGAAATTATAACAGTCTCTCAGACCATAGTGCATTCAAACTAGAACTCAGGATTAAGATACTCACTCAAAACGCACAACTACATGGAAACTGAACAACCTGCTCCTGAATGACTACTGGGTACATAACGAAATGAATGCAGAAATAAAGATGTTCTTAGAAACCAATGAGAACAAGGTCACAACAAACCAGAATCTCTGGGACACATTTAAAGCACTGTGTAGAGAGAAATTTATAGCACTAACTGCCCACAAGGGAAAGCTGGAAAGATCTAAAATTGACACCCTAACATCACATCACAATAAAAGGAACTAGAGAAACAAGAGCAAACACATTCAAAAGCTAGCAGAAGGCAAGAAATAACTAAGATTAGAGCAGAACTGAAGGAGATAGAGACACAAAAAACCCTTCAAAAAATCAATGAGTCTAGGAGCTGGTTTTTTGAAAAGATCAACAAAATTGATAGACCGCTAGCAAGACTAATAAAGAAGAAAAGAAGGAAGAATCAAATAGATGC